AAATCATCCGCAAACAGCATTCCTGAAACCGACGTTTCCGTGTCCCCTACTTTTACTCCCTTCCGGACTGCCTCTACGACTTCCAACAGATCGTTGATGAACACCTGGAACAATGTTGGGGACAGCGTGCAACCTTGTGGGACCCCCTGCTCAATGTCGAAGAATTTAGACAGTTCTCCGTCGGTGTGTGTGTGTGGGGGGGGGTATTTGTGCCCACGAATCCTGACGTTGAGGATGGGGGCGACACGTTTGTTGCATTCTTTGGAGGTAGTCGATCAGTCTATCAGAGACACCTAGAGACGTGGATTCGTGCTCTCTTCATATAGATGTGATCCTCGTCAGGCTGGAAATCGACACAGAGGTGGACGGGCAGGACGGGGTTGGCAAGGAGTCGATGTACACCGTGGCGCACATCGATTGTGTACCGTGTCTGTACCTAAGAGGTGCCCAGCTCATCTCTTGAGCCAATCATGTCCTGGTGTTGGACAGCAGAAATAAACGTTCCCTATCAATTTGGCAAGGGTTTACTCAGCATTGAACGTTTGGTTGTGTTCCCCTGGAGGTAAAGATACAACCACATGAAGGCGAGGAACCTTTCGAGCAGCCATCCGCAAGGACTTTCAGAAAGCAGTGCGTCGTTGCTCACAACAAGGACATGCAACACGAAACGCAGGTGTCTGAGGGTTTGATTGTAGTAGTATGCAACAACGATGCCATTGCCACCACTACTCGCAACAGCAACCACCACCACAACAAGTACAGGAACGGTGACGACGATGGAGACGGTGAAAACGACATAAGCCATCAAAATACGAAAAACTCAAGCAGTCTGCCAACCGGGTTGAATCCGACACCCTTCATTTTCGTTCTTTTGGAGCGCACCTGTTCCTAATGAGCTCTTCCCACTCCTTTTCCCGGTCCTCAACAGCCCTCTTCTTAGCCTCGATCCCCTCCAAGCCGACGATATTGTCCTTCACCACTCTCAGCAGGTCCTTCTCGGTGGCCTTGTAGTCCCAGAGAATCTCGTTAGTCTCTACGTTGTGGAAAGTCATGATGGCGTGTACCGGCGACACGTACATCTTCCAGACCGACCCAGCCTGCCCGCAGACCTGCGGTGCCACAGGTCGTGCACGAGATGTTCAGCGTGGAGTTGGGGGGGTAATGTGCCTTTCGTGTCCGCCTGTGGCGTGTGTGCTGGCCTTTTCCCAGTATGCTCGGCCGTTGTGGACTATCATTGTCGTGGGACCGTTGGCGACGTAGTCATACCGAGGGGTAGAACCGTACGAGATTGTTGTTGTTTTGCCATGCCGGTTGTTGTGGTAAGCATTCCCCTCCCCCGCACTTTCATAGCCATACGGCGCGTTGGCTTGTTTGTGGCATATGTTTTTTTTAGGCTTGCTTGACTACGTACTCATCGTTGAACTGAAAGGACGGGCTTTGGCGGGTGTTTGATGTGGACACCGTCAGCCTCGTCTTCTTGACTGGGCGACTTCCTTTGCTTGTCGGCGATGAAATGTACTATTTATTTGATTCTGGAGTAGAGCCTACCGCAAGCAGCCCAATATGGTGGCAACTTGAATAAGGTGGAACCGCCGACATTGTTAGTGGCATAAAAATCTCTTGTCACAATCCAACATGTACATGAACCCGATGTATCGAATAGTGGCACTGCCCTGAATAGTGCCATATTCTCCGCTTGCTCCTACGTGCCACTACACCGGGCTGCTTACTGCTGTACATCTTCACGTGTCTCAGGATGCCCTAAAATACCAGCAGCCTGCGGCAAGGTGCACTTCCGATTTGTTTGGACGGCTTTACTCACGTCTTCGTGTCTCTTCACGGCAGCCTCGAACTCCGGAAAGTCGATGAAACCGCCGCCGTCCAGGTCGATCGTTCGGATCACGGACCGGATCTGCTCCCCCGACAGCTTGATGTTGAGGCTGGACACCATGCCCTTGAACTCTTCGTGCGTGAGGTAGCCGTCCCCCTTGAGGTACAGCGTGGGCGCCGAGGGAGGGAGGGCGGGTTGCGACAGGGATGGAGGAAGGTAGCGAACGAGTTGTCGAGGAGAAAATCAGCGGCATGGTGGCGCTGCTGTGCTTCATGGTGCGGGCTTGAGACGACTTTTAATCGAGCCGTATTTGTTGTGACTCTTTGCCTCGCTGTGCGTTTTAGAGTGAGTATGAACTAGAGGCTCCTTCTCGCAATCAACAACAATCCGGGCAGCTGCACTAGTTTCGATGAACACAGCATCGCAAGGATGTACGCCAGAGCTGACGCGCATAAATAGAGGGATCGATCTCCGCATAGCGGCGGACCCCACAAGACGGCCCTCGCCCTTGGTTACCGTCGTGATATGGCTCTCAGAATCCTCTGCTGCCAAGTAGTTTCCGTATACATCACACGGAAAACACGCGGCTCAGTTTTTCACCCTGGCGTCGTTTAGCCACCAGACACTTGTACCATACCCAACGCAATGACGACAAAGACCTCGGGGTTGACGCCCCCCCTCCGTCCCGCCCCATCCCGTGTCGGCTACACCGCGAACCAACCTCCTTGTCGAACTGGTTGAAGAACAGTTGAAGCGTCTTGTTCTCCTTGTAGAGCAGGTTGGCCATGTGTGCGAAGATGTAGTTTGCCGGGTCCCTCAGCGCCCTCTCCAGCTCCGCCGTCTCCGGTAGCGGCGCAGCGTAGAACTTCCTCTTGAGGATCTTCATCTCCTTCTGGATCTTGAACGGTGCCTCGGGGTCCGACTCGAGCCACTCCTTGGCCAACTCCATTTCTTTCTCGACGATCTCCCTCAGCTTTACCTCCCACGTCGCGTCAAAGTCGTTCTTGATCTTGACCCTGTTCTCATAAACCCTTCGCCTTCTAGCTTCTCTCTGCCGCTGCAGCACCTCGGCGTCTCTGGCCACGGATCCGGCCTGGGCCGCCTCGATCTTCTCGATGTGTTCGGCGGCACGTCTGGCCATAAGCGCCGCTTTCTCCTCTGCCTTTTGGCGCTTCTTCCTCTCTTCCGCGAGCTCAGCCAGAAGCACTCTTTCTCTCTCCGCTTCCTGCCCGGAAAAGAAGCAATTGAAAGCCGGCGGGGGAATGTACGCACGCCGAGCATACCTTTCAAACGACACACACAAGCCGAAAGAGACCAGCGGCCAGTAGAACATGTGTACCTCCCTCGCATGCTGTTGTATGTATAAGGCGGGTTCGTTGGGAGCTCTCGAAGCAGATGTTGTTCGGCGCTTACAAGGAACTTTATAGGGGCCAGGGTTAGATAGAGTACCTTGTCTGAATTCACCTTTACCATGCCCTCCATAGAGCAATGCCGTACGTAGTGTAGGTGAAGTCCAAGGTGTGCAGCATTGATTGCTGAGACAAAGACATTATTCACCGCTCTGCGAATCACGGTAGTGGCTTCGCGCGATTTCAACCAAATTTTTCGTAATACTTTAAAGTGCTCGACCCATGAATAGACTACACTTCTTGACGGAACATAGCACACCACCCACCTCAATACTCTCGGCTAAAGCCGCCGCCCGCATCTCGGCTTCATCTTCGGCACGCCTCGCCGCCACCGCAGCCCTCACGGTGTCCCTCAGCGCCGCGAACACCCGACGACAGAGCCGTTCCCCGGCGAGGTCCACCGCAAACCCCCACGCGTTCATGAGAGAAGCCGTCTCGCACCACGCCTGCAGGGCCAGCCGCATGGACCGTTTCCGCAGAACCCCGCGCAGCAAGCCCACCCCGGCCACTACCAGCTTGCCCTGCTTGCTGAACTTCCAGGCCACGGCTGCAAGCCTCTTTTTCACCTCCACGTACTTGACGATGCTGTAGAAGTAGCGCCGGAGCGTGCAGATTCGCCCGTACTGGTCGGCGACCGCGCGGCGCTTGCGGCGAAGGACGTGGACGGCCGCCGAAGCGTGCCAAGCGCGAAGGGTCTGGCGGCGTCGAACGTTCTGTATGCGTTCTCGCTGGGCTCTGATCTGCTTCGCTCGGTTCCTGAAGATTTTCCAGTGGACGATGACTCGACGCGACAGGGTCTTGGTGTACCACCGGGCCGCGCGGTACTCTTTCATTGCCATCGCGCCGGAGCTCGCTTTTTCGAATCCCTTCGCTTCCACCGCTTGTAGCACGCCCAATCGCCAAGCTTCGGGAATACGCTGCCAAAGCTGAGTTCGAAACGCGACCAGAATTGAGGGGTTCGCCTCGATTGTATGCATCAAGAAGGTGATGTCTAAGTCGCGGAACGTGGGTTTGAGGCCTCGTGGGCCTGCCTCCTCGGCGAGGTACTTGTCCAGGCGGTTGCTTGTCTGCAGGATATGGCCTCCGTGTAGTGCACCTATCCTCACCACTCTAAGAGCGTCCTGCCTTTGGACGACCTGCCCCTCGTCAACATCCGAGTACAAGAGGATAAGGTCTCGAAACAACTTGCGTGGGTTGTCACGGATGTCTTTGAATCTCCGAAGCACAATCGTGCAACACAAGATGTCGCGATAGTCCACCGCACCAGCACGGGCCCCTTCATAGCACTCGTAGAGCGATCGAAGCCGCGTGTCCATCCTCAACTTGCGATCAAACCGATATGCTGCCATCATCCTTGCCACGAACGCGGCTTTGCTGACCGTGCATCCCTGCCCCGGCGTAGCTTCCAATGCGCACGCGAGACTGTGATATCGGTATGGCGGTTGGTGCACAAGGTTGTGCAGGAATCGCATCCCCGCCCATTTTCGACGACGGCATCGATCAGTACAGCCATGATCCGGCCCGACGAGATCGTCGGGGAGCATCCCTCAATTGAAGGGGGAGGAAGTTGTGGAGATTGGTTCATGTAGCTTCAACCATCGCACCATTAGCATATTGTAGCACTACTGTACAGCAGTAGGCCTGCTAAGGCGTTGACTTGTATCTCTCCGAGCGGTGGGGGCACAGCAGTTGCAACATGAAGGCACACACGCACACATGAATCGCGGAGTGGTCCCTCGGACCCGGCTCGACACACTTCACGTTAGTCGAATTCTGTCGAGATGGAAAATGAAACCGTTTTCCGTAACGCCTCCAGAACTCGCTTTCGTACTGTCGGCTGTCCACCACCCCCGATGCATACATACATCAACGGAGCGCCTGCGGCTCTTTGCTTGTTCATGCCCTGTGCTCGCGCTGGCTTCGCACACGACACTTGACACCTCGCCACCACCATGGTGTACGCAAAGGCATCGATAGCTTACGTGGCCATTCTACTGGGTCTGGGCGTGTCTCGGCCAGAGGCTTTCGTCCTGTCGACGGCTGGTGCGGCAAGCTTGGCCAAGGATAGCAGGCGTGCGACAGCATGGAGCAGCGCTCGAGCAGGAGCAGCAGCGGCAGGCCTAGAGCATTGTAAGCGCAGGAGGGGGGCTGGCTGCGGTAGATCTCGACCTTGCATGTCGTCCAGCGATGAGCACGACATTCTTCTGCGGGTGGCGAAGGGCGAGAAAGCGGAACGTGCTCCCGTTTGGCTCATGCGGCAGGTGTGTGCGTGCCGTGCGCTTTTTGTGCATGCACGTCTGATCTAACGAAATGACGAAAGAGCGGCATCGTCGAGTCTAATGTACGCATACAACATGACATGGTTGACGACACGACGGCCGCCGCATATACGTCCAAAGCGGTAGTAACGAATGAACTCCTGTGCAATCTGCGTGTACGACTTTGTTTCTGAAGCGGTTGCTTGTTGGAAACCCCCCACATGCTTTCCCACTTACTATCATGTGTTGCACGGCATCGTGTCACGTGCAGACAGAAGCCCCCCCGCCGACCCTTCGTTGTACTTCTGCTGCTGACAGTAAAGCAGCACTGCTGCTCGTCTGTATGAGTTCGCCGGTTCATCGGCATTCGTCACCATAGCATAGCACAACACTTGAGGTTGTGTGCTTCAGTCTGAAGGCAGCGTGCCTCCGCCGAATAAATGTAACTGCCGGTCGATATAACATATAGGCAAACCCGTCTAATAGGACCCTCGTGGATGCCGGTAGCAGTGATGAAAACACGAGTTTGCACATCAGCAGCGGTTGTGGGGAATCCAGCTTGGGACAATGTACAACGTAGTACAGCAGTAGTGGGCCCTGAATAGTGCCGGTTGAATAGTGCCACAGAGTCTGGTATGGTACTGGTCAAATCTCAGAACACGAGTGTCCACTCCTATACTTAACCTTCAAGCCGTGTTCTCAATAGTGCCTGTGGCCCGGTATCGTGGCGGTAAGACCTCTAAACACATACCGGCGCTCAACAGGGCATACCTACTGTAACCGTCCCCATCGAACGAAAAACCAGCCACGGCAGAGGCGGTTGTTATGTTGTTTTAGTCGGAGCTAGTGTAACAAGTTCGAGTAGAGAGCGGTTCGTATCTCGCAGAGCCTCACGCCTCAAGGGGAGTCTGAAACATGGACCTGCGCGATTTGTCTACAGCAGTACGCGAGGACCCGAGTAGGTGGATACCTCAAGGCAACGGGGTTTGGGTTAGGCTGTGTGGACTTAGGTCCTTCCCGAGCAAGAGTTACCGGGGGTTTCGTGATACCATGTGTTCGGCTTCAGAGATATATATCCACGACTTTTTCTGATCGTCACATCGTTCCAGGCCTACCCCATACAGCAGTAGGTGTGAGCGCTGTGTATTCTACATTTTGCTTTGTCCTCAGTTGCACCACAGTACCGCTTGAAGCCTGAGGATAGAGCGAAAGCACAGCCTGAAGAGATTTTACGTTATAGCAGCTTCATCACTCCTATGTGGAAAAGTTGTCAGCAGTTTCTCACTGAAGGTCTTGAGCTGGAGATTGGATGTAAGTTGCTGATGGCTGTAGTTTAGCACCAAATGACGCCCCCGCTCAAGAGTTGGCGGTTAGGCGGAGCTCCTTTCAAGCCACTGCAGGCCACGAAATCGAGTCACACCATTGTTTGTGTTTTCAGTGAGGGCGTCGAATGCACCCGAAATCAACCCAGTGCAGCCAGTGCGGCTCCAATAGTACCTTATAATCGGCAGCTCTGATATAGCAGTCCCGAAAAGGACGAGCAACTAAAGAAATGTGGTTCTGTTTACACGATGCTGCGGTGTACATAGCCCTCTTGGGCAGTCCCAATAACCTAATGGCTTAATGCTTTGATGCGAACCTAGCTGGATCCCTTTGGGCCTTTCGGAGCCTCACCAAGCTTGCGAATTTGAAAACGGCTTCCGCGAACAGCTTGTCGCCATTTCGTGGAAGCACCACCAACGACAACAATCGTTTGTGTTCCTACTTGTTGCCGTTAACTTTTTCTGCACCGTTGACGAAAAGCTACTCTAGCTCCAAGTTTGTTTATTTTTGTCTGGAGAAACGCCTTTACATGAAACAAATCGTGCCGCCATTTTATCGTAGACTTGGCACGTAATGTTGGGCTGGCGTGCTTGCTTGCCGCTTATCATGGTGTTGAGGGTTGGTGGATTGGTCGAGGACAGTAGTCGGTGAGAGCATGCACAAAGCCGCACGAAGAAAGCCGAGAGGAGTTTACAGAAGACATAGCGCGGTGTAGCGCGACGGGTTCAATGACGGCAGGATACACTCCCCTTCAACGGCCGGCTTCCTCCAAGTCATGCATTCGCTCATGGGAGGCCAAGCGGATGCCTGCCCTGGAATTCTCGATAAGGAGGCCACTAACCTCCACACACACAACAGTCTTAGAGCACACTGTGCCCGTGATGATGACCCAGGCACGCCAGGCTACACGAGAACTTTTCCCCAACACAGAAGCAAATCTCGTTCACGTCTTGCTGTACCCCCGATCTCAATGTCGCAGGCCGGCCGATACATGAGCGCGTTCCGCAAGTACTCCGACAGTTACCCCTTCCGGCACCGCTCGGAGACCCCGGAGATCGCGATCGAGCTGTCCCTGCAGCCGTGGCGAACGTTCGGGGTGGACGGGGTCATCATGTTCTCGGACATCCTCACCCCCCTCCCTTCCATGGGGGTGGACTTCGACGTTGTCAAGGGCACCGGGCCGGTGATCTCGAATCCCATCAGGACCAAGGCCGACGTGGAGGCGGTGAGGGTGATGGAGGACATCGACGGGAAGCTCCCGTTCGTGGGGGAGACGCTCAAGGTGTGTGTATGATTGTGTTTGGATCTTTTGAGGGAGAGGGTACGTGGATCCCCACCGCTGGAGATCTCCTTCATACAGGCAGGGTACAGCAGTCTCCCGACTGTCTGCCTGTCGAGGACAACCGATTGTTCGCAGCTTTGGATTATTTGTCCAGCCTCCGTTGTTGTCCACATACCGTGAATGAGTGGCGCGCTCAGCCGTTGTCAAGATGTCGTAGTTTTAATGGTGCACTCAGTCAATCCACAAATATCGTAGTTGTAATGGTGCACTCGGTCATTGTCCAAACCCTATGACTTAATGGTGCATTCGTTACCCTACCACCACGACTGAATGGTGAACTCATTCGTTACCCAACCACGACTTAATGGTACACTCCTCACTGCTGGTGTCCAACGGGCAGGCGCTTCGATCAGAGACAGAGGGCAAGTCGACCCTTATCGGATTCGTTGGGGCTCCGTGGACTCTGGCGGCCTACTCCATCGAAGGGGGCAGCAGCAAGCACGCACTCCACACGAAGAAGATGATGATGGAGGACCCTGCTTTGTTCCACTCGCTCATGACTAAGCTCGCAAACAGCATCGGCGACTACGCCTGTTACCAGGTGCGTATGCATGAGGTTTGCAAAGTTGGTTAGGCTTTTGCATGAATTGAGAGGAAGGAGTTGCCGTGAGAGCGGTCGCATGTTGGATGTGGCAAGATTACGAGGAGTGCATCACAGCAGCACTTTCGCCGGGGGACAATATTTCCCGATCAAGCGTGACTGTCGTCATCGTCATCGTCATCGTACGAGCGGGATGGGGCTATCCCGCCGGCAAGTTGTGTTTGGTACAGATAGTACCACAGAGCAGTAAATGCGGCTTCGATGTAAGAGCGGGTGGTGCCGAGGCAGCTGAAACTGTCTGTCTCAAATCCTGCCTTCTTCCACCCGTTTTTTTGCATTTCGTGTATTTTTCTATGGCCTTGACAAGACAATTCTGATTTTAATCCCCTTAGATGCGTACAAACTCACTTATTTTATTTCGTCGGGCAGGTGGAGAACGGAGCGCAGGTGATCCAGGTCTTTGAGTCCTGGGCGCATCAGATGATCCCGTCACAGTTCGAGACTTTCGCCAAGCCGTACGCCGACCTGGCCATGTCTATTCTCAAGCAGCGACACCCGGATGTGCCTGTGATATACTTCGCCAACGGTGGCAGCAGCTATCTCGAAAGCCAGCGAGACACCCAGGTAGGACAGAGGGATAGATGTTGCAGATGCCTGCAGGCAAACATGTTGCCACCTTTTCTCAAACGAATGTCCCATTTTTTGTTTGTTTCTCTTAATTGAATAAAAAAACAAGATCACAATGTCTACTTGGTCAACTTGGAGTGAGGTCTTGCTTAATGTTAGCGCTGTACCAGGTTGTAGACACTTGGGCAGATTACATTTTTGATACGAGGCGGCCGCGGGTGTGGCGTGCACATGGTGATTCAACGTCTAACCCTGTTCCTCACCACTTTCTTACGCGTACCAGTACTTCTTTACTTGGACGACCGGTTTGACGGGGTCCCTGCTTAAATTCTTCATACTCTCGAAGTGCCGTCGCTCTACCAGGCTGACGTGACGTCATCAGCCACGACCAGCCCGCGTTCGTTCACCATAGGTGGCATCAGATGTCGTACCCCCTGGAGGGATATTTTGTTGAAAGCTCGATTTTTCCACAGCAGAAAGAGTTGCGGTGCCGAAAACGGCGGCGCTGGAGCCTTCTCGTCGAGAGCTTTCCGACAACGCATCGTCCGATTTGTGCATGTTACGAGTAATCGAGCTTTGAACATTGGTCCAGTGGGTGCGGTGTCTTGTGTCGCGTACGGTACACCACGCATGAGAGCGCGCGGTACATCACTGAAAAACTCAGAACTCGAAAACAAGACTAAAGCAAAGCCGACCGATGAGATCCCGACACCGGTGTCTCATCCCCCCCCCCCCAAACAACAGGCGGATATGATCAGCCTTGACCAGTTCGTCAACATGCGGTCCGCTAGGGAGCGCCTTGGCGCCAGCGTTCCGGTGTCCGGCAACGTCGATCCCCTCGTGCTCTTGGGCCCAACGAGCGGCATCAAGGAGGCCGTGAGATCTTGCGTGAGAGATGCCGGGTCTAGCGGCCACATTCTCAACCTCGGGCATGGGGTGTTGCAGACGACCCCGGAGAGCTCGGTCGCGGCGTTGGTAGACTCGGCAAAGGAGGCCACTTACGCTTCGGTGTTGGATAGGGAGGAGGCGCCTGCGCCGGTAGCGTGAGCGGCGGGTGTGCTCATGTAAACCCCAGCCATAGTCGTTAGACCATGTAGACGTCGCATCCCTAGAAAGCTGGGGCGGGGCGGTGTCGAGGCTATGTTTCACAAGGATGAACGAGACGCTTTATCATTCCTTTTGCGTTTGGCGGGGGGGTCGGGTGGGGGGGTACGTTGTCTGGGAGGCGAAACACAAGCTTGTTTTTGTCAAGAATGCGGTTGAGCCAAAAAAAAACACAAGCTTGTTTTTGTCAAGAATGCGGTTGAGCCAAGCTTTTCGACGCCTCTGAGACACACGACGGCAAGCAACAGAGAACTTGCTGGGGAGATGGTGTAAGGTCTGGAAGCACAAGATTGATCATGGCAGATGGACGCCGTTGTTTTTGTTCGTGTTAAACGTTGTCGGACGTGTATGGACCGCGATGAGTGTGGGGGCAGACTACATAGATTACTGAAACATAATTTTTCCCCTAACCTAGAGAACAAGGCAGGCTTCCAGAGTGGAGATGAACGATCTTACGTCGCATGTTTGCTGCCGTTGAAACCATTTACAAACAACGAAAGCATCAGATGTGATTGACTATTGTTAAGAGTAGCGTAGGCAAAGCCTCCACCATCGCCCTGAAATCGATGTTCAACGCTCGATGACATGATGTATGACAGAGAGAGAGAAACCAACGGACGGTATGGGCGACGAAAGAACGGCTCTCCAAGAGCTGTCCGAAATCAATCGTTTCGTTGATACCAGGTCGCAGCAGAGTACTGGTACATACAAACAATGGAGCTCGGTGAGCCAACCATGTCCGATCTTCCGGTTGTCTGCAGTCCTCCCTTACATACAGCTGTCTGTCAGGGTACTACATGGAGCTGGTTGTACTCCCTCCCAGTCTTTCACGTCTCGCATCCTATCAAAAGTCTTCAATTCCATCTACTAGACTAATGGCACAGATCTTTTGATCTTTATGCGAAATTCTCCACTAAGCATCATCATATGTTTTTTGAACTTCAAGCACACCGTCAATCAAGCGCCGAGGCAGCCGTGCACTGCATATCCAACGCCTCTTTGTGATGGATGGGCCAATCAACGGTGCAGAGAGCAAAAAGAGCCTGCGACGAACAGTGTCGCTCTCGCAGGCAATCAGTAACGATCGCTGTCGTTCCACGACCCTCTCGGCAAACTTCTTCGGCGAGCGCCTGTTGCCTGTCTGCGTGGAATCCCTTCATGAAACTGCAAGACATTTAATCTTACATGTCAACTATCGCACGGTAAGATATAAATGCTATACATGGTATAGCCCCCAATGCTTTTCAGGGAACAATCATTACGCGCGCCCCCACCCCACGCCCCACGCACACAGCTACTGAGCCCTCGGCGTGTATAGAACGGGCCCACAGTCGAGACAATGTTTCCGTTGAAGAAAATGAAGCTCAAAGTTCCACGAAAACAAATTGGGATATGAAATGCTCAGCGGCGGATCCTGTGCTCGACGATGATTATTCGAACAAACAATTGAAGTAGAGCCACGACTGTGACCCGATACATGCATGTAGACGTTTCTTACCTCCGGGCCGATTGATCCTGGATGCATGTACGCGCACAAACAGCATGTCGTTCATCGCGCGTCCGGCGCTTGATGAATCCGTCACGTGCTGCGAGCAAACGTCGTTCTCGCGACTGGACAGGAAAAAAAAAAGGTGCAGCTGAATACAAGACTGTCAACACTTCGGAATACATCGTTTCCTTGGTAGCCATAGAAAAAAAAAAAATCAGTATGACCTGCCTGTAGTATCAAGCGCCTTTTTGTCTGTACTCACAAATGCTGCTCGTAAATAAGGGCAAACAAACGGATCCGTGGGCCACAACTGCCTAACCCGACGTATGGGACAACTACCATAAAATAAAGATTCATTTGTAGGACCCACACAGAAGAAAATCAGAAACACTTTATACCCAAAAAGAAAAAAAAGTTTATAGGAAACAAAATGGCATGAAGAAGGCGAACACACGAAATCAACATCGGTTCTCACTTCACGCCAACAACACAGCCACCGTCTGTCATGCCATCAGAGAGGATGGAGACCTTTCCATACTCAAACGCGTGTACTTAACACAACAGCTCTCATGCCAACGGTATATTTGATACATTTCACAGTAGTGGCTGTCACGCGAGGAGAACGGCAGGTTGAAATGCCTTCTGACAGGTGCGGACATGCATGGCTTGAACGCGACTTTCTCCGATCTCCCACAACAACGATCCTATTGGGCAAACGACCCAGCTCAAAAAACATCTCAACGCTAGGTGGACGCGAAAACTGATTCTAGGTCGTTTGCGAGCGCGCCTCGCATACCTCAAGATGACGCGCCCGCAGACACCGCCTACAAAGGAAAACTGCACTACTGGTAAGAGGCAGGTACATAACATTGCCGTCTGCGGACCCCCACACCGACAAAACGGCCAACTCCGACAATCGCCGCGAGGACGGGAGACGGTACACACGGTAGCTCACAGCCCGCCACTCAAGCCCAAGAAAAAAGAGCACGGAGGAGGCGCGTTTGCCTCTATTTTGACTGTGTGTCCAGGACGGTGGCAATCAACGCACGCTTGTACCTTGTTTAACATCGGTGTGCAACACCGTGAAAGAGATGAAAAAGTGACGTCACCACGACCACGCACGCCCTCACCAGCTGCTGCTGCTGTGCTGCACACCAGCATTCCCGTTGTCCTCGGGGCACTCAACACGAACATATGCACACCGGAATAAAACTACCGCTCTTGCTCTGACGCTCAGCAGGCGCAGCTACCGCTACCCTCGAAAAGTGTCAACTGTTGCGCCAGAGCATCTCTACGTTGCTCTGCAGGCGCCAGAGCATCTCTTCGCTGCTTTGCAAAAGCACCTCTGACGGCAAAGGTATGATACGAAGGAACGATTTCTCCATCTTTGGTCGGCCCTGTGGCAACAATGCTACGTGCGTCGTCTCGAGGACGCGTGGTCCACGGTCTAACAACGAAGGCAACTAAGGCATGCACAACGTGAGTACGCCCCCCCCCCCCCCCCCCCCCCCCCCCCNCCCCCCCCCCCCTCCCGCTCCCCCCCAAAAATCAAAATCAACATGGAATTCAAACACCAAACGAATGCTCTCTCACAACAGGTCACGTTCGTGGCCGGCGGAGGAAGTTGCACACGGCTTTCTCAATCAACACACGTCTCGTTTGCCCCGCGCCGAGCCTATCCCCCGGCACATCTATTCACAGGACAGTACCACAACAACGTGCATCATCGACAGAAGAACAAAGGGGCCCAACATTTGACGTGACGTGTTCCTTGTTCCGCCCAGCATATACACCAAACGCAACGCAACTCTCAAGCTCAACACACATACACACACACACGTCCGTCGATTGCAGCGTCATCCCCCCCGTCCCCCGTCCCCCGTCCCCCCCCTGACTGCAACACTCTGCCCTTTTCGTCTGTTCTCAACCCCCCCCCCCCCCCCCCCCCCCCCCCCCCCCCCCCC